TGTCAGTAGCACGGCGAATCAAGACGCACTGCATGACAACATGACAACAGACCTTCCCACGCGGGGAGCCACGTTGGCGATCCGTGTGCTAGGGAGATCGAACAGTCCGTATCCACTCCTGTGTGCACGAACAACTAGATCAATTTCCCAAATAGGCCCCTAATCGAACAACTCCTATCACCCCACTCGAACCCAGATGAATGACCCAGATTGGCTTTCCAACTAGGCCTAATCGAACGACTATTCGCACTCTACATCTCCCAAGATAAATGGCTGAGATCGATCGAAGAGAGGTATTTAAACCTCTCTTCAATCGTTTAAAAACCCTAGCTGATGCAGGGACGCCAGAGAAGAAGAATAGGAGCGACCAGAAAAGGACTCATCCACTAGAGGAATGTCGATGCCACCGTGCTGGAACACCGAAAACACTCTGGTAAGTCGAATTTTATTCATGCTCTTCCCGTTTCTCTACCCTTAATTGCCTAACATGTTTTTGATGCAGGGTGACCGAGAAAAGTTGTAAACTGCGAGGGAGGGACGATGGAACTTAGTTGAGCTGCCACACCGAAAAACCAAAACTGTTAGTAAGCACCTATTTTTTCCCCTTCTTTCGCCAAGAAACACCTCTTAAACATGATTTAAACATATTTTAACCAAGAACTGGCCGAAATCGGTCTAACCAAGAGGAAGAACTGTCGTAGAATGAGGACCAGATGGTAAAGTACGGTGGCGACGCACCGCCAAAACACTAACCCAGTCCTCGGTTAGATTTTTGCCCTTTTTTTGCCATTCCTTGTGTATGTTACGCCATTTTGACATACATTTTCAATCTTATTAGGAAAACTCAAGAAATCTAATAATTGAGAACCGTCAAGAACTGTAGTAAAAAAGATGTTGTTCTAGACACTGACCCAGTGTAAGAATCTCTCACGTTTTTTTTCTGTTACGGTTAAATTAAAGCTAAATTAATAATAAACAGAAATTTTAAATAATTGGCGATTCCTTGATCAATAAGTATAGGTTGCCGATAGAGTCAGTAACCAGTCAGTTTATATTTGTCATTAATTTAATTGTGTTAGCTATTTCTACAATCCCTTTTTTGTGCCTATTTATTTACTCATACCATTTTAAACACTTCAATCTAATTGTCTTAATCTACGTTCACTCAGTCAGCATAATATGTTTGTTGTTATTCTTACTTTTATATCTATCTAGATCCAGAATATCATTCATATTCTTGTGTTGTTTGGGAATACAAGCATACTTGTCGTTTGAGGCTAAAAATTAAATAATAAAAAAAAATACACGGGAACTAATGTTGTTGAATGAAATGACTTATTGGGTGTCATAGAAAAGAGTGTACAAATTTAACTACATAAGGTGAACTCTATCGTGGACGTTACCTTTAACTGTACGGGGTTAGGAAGTCCCATACCAGATGAAGTTAGGAGTTTATAAGTGTCGGTAATACCAAACAGACCATTGAGGCGGTTTTTAGCTGTAACACCCAATACTGGACGGGGTATGGGAACGATGGTTTGATTGCAAGAAAGTTTTTATATCCACGTGTAGCAGGGGATCTATGGACCCCTAGTGACACCGGTAAGGAAAGGTAAAATGATAGAGTAGTAATGGACATGGAAGGATTCTAACTTTGGAAAAATAGTGAAGAGTTAAATATTATACGTATTTTTAAATATATACTATTATATTGTTATTCTGATTTTTATCTTAATATATGACGTTTGAAAAGTTACGAGATAGGGAAGAAAATACTAATATTTTCAATTAAACGAATAACGAATGCACTACCTTTTGAGTTTTATTAAAAATTAGCTCCATTGGTCGTTTTATGTTTTTTATAACCCTTTGATTTCCGTATTAGTAGTAAAACGCTAATATTGTTACTAAACTTGTGTAGTTTACTCATTTCTTATTAATAATTTTAGATCAGGACGATTAAAATTTAGATCCTGAACAACAAGAGACTAATTAAAGAATTAACTCTTCTATTTCATTAGTTTTGAGTAGAGGTTAACCATATTTATAGTTAATATATATATATATATATATTTGAGTTTCAAAAGCATTCACATAACCTCTATTTGGACATTTTAAGTAAACGTGTAAGGAATATAATATTCAAACTTTAATTGCTTCTGCTAAATAATAAGTTTTAGTACTGTTTATTTTACTGTTACTGAATTATACGCTCGAAATTCCGGATTGGAATTTGGGCTTTTTATAATACTTTTATCTACTTTGTCTTGTTATCTTTTTATAGTTATTTAAATAGAAAAAAATAATTTAAAATTTTATAAAAAATTAAATGAAATATAATATGTTTTATTAGTTCGTTCTGCTTAAATATTTAAATATTTTGTATCATTTTACATACTTTTAGATAACTTATAAGTTATAAGTTTAAATTAATAAATTTTTAAAAAATAAATATTTTATACGATTAAATTCTTTTAAAAAAGATTAAAAATGGTAGGGACCAGCTAAGTTTTATATTAATTTATATAATTTTAATAAATGAAAAAATTATAAACTAAGATGATTTTTTTTTTTTTCAATTTAAAAGTAGATTAAACTTATTGGTGTTTCCTTTGAATCAACGAAAACTAGGTGGTGGCTTGAGGTCTCACACTATCTTGCTTGCATTTGCGGGGGCCGTAGGAGGATCGCGTAACAAATTATCTTCATTAACTTTTACCTTCAGCTAATGGCTTTGCTTGCTTACCAGCCAATTTGCACGTCTAAAGTCCAACTTTTGTTTTTTTTATTTTTTTTATCACAATAAATAATGTATTTTTTAACTCAATATGATAATTCTAAATATAAAATTTTAATTATTATATAATATTTTTTTATTTATAAATAAAATTTTACATATAATCTCATTAACATTTTATAAATTCTCAGTTATACTGAATCAAATATTATTAATTATTGACAACACAATGATCTAATAGTTGAGATCTTGTGTTTTACTTGAATGTCACGTGTTCAAATTTCATTAAAAATATAAAATTTATTATTTTGTAAATGTATTATGAGTTGAATACGAGTGATATTTAGTCAAACAAAAAATTTATTTAAGAAATGTATGAATTTTTATTTATACATAAAAAATATGGAGCTCCAACTTTAAATATCTTTATTTTTTCTCCCATATGAATAGGGAGAATATATATATATATATATTCCAACAACAAAAAAACATTTGTATAGAAAAACAGATAGCTAAACATACAAAAATAAGATACACTTGGAAAAATTTACACGTTTCTATTTGACAATAAGCTCAAGTAGCAAAAATTTTAATTCTTTGTAGGCCCGAACTTATTTACATGGAGTGTCGTCGTGTATGTTGGCATAAAATTTATGTATAAATCTCGGTACATATGATATTACTTCCTAAAAAGGTCTTGTAAGTAATAATCAACAAACACTAACCCAGAAAGTTACATGCATCTAAGCAAATATATAATATGTGTATATTTAGGCAGAATCATAAATTATTTGGAAAAATAATGAAGACTATGATTAGTGAGTGGGATAATTAGGAGCCCCAACAATGTTTACATTACACAATGTAATATTAACCCTTTAATTACCCACCCACTGATTTAACCATCACACGTATAATTTTTTATTGGCATTTGAATTTAAACCTCAAGTAGATAAGTTATTGGTTGCTTAGGTCATAATTCAAATAGAAAAAAAAAAAAAAATCCCAGATGGTGCCTGCAAACGATTAAAAAAATTAAGGGGATAGCAATGAAGAAGGAGATTATCATAGTTAATTCAATTTTCCCAAGTGATTTTATTATTTATATATATATATATATATATATATTCTTCTCCATTGAACGATCAGATAATCACTCAACATCCATCAGAACCCTCGTCAGCTTCTCATGATCAGAACCAGACGAAGCTTGAAAGAAATGCTCCTTCTGACGCCCATCAAAACAGTATACAGGCGCTTGCCAGGCAGAATCTTCAAGCACCGCTCCCACCTCAAATGTCATTACATGAACAGCCCTCCCTGCAATCCACAAAAACAAACTAAAACTTTAACTCTGTCTCCTTCAAATCTTCCCCAGTTTCACTAAAATTTAGATATAAACCGAAATGTCCACCAATAGATCCAACAATAAATCATGATTGTCGCTGAGAATAATATGTATAGATACCTGTGTAGAATACCCATTGAACAGGTCTCTTGGTGATTACATCTTCATAATAGGTAATGAATTCCACCTTGTCCCACACATTACAGAGAAAGCCATCGACGGATTGCTGGCCTAGGTATTTGGCGCCTTCAAGCCAATTAGGGCGGAGTATACCGACGGGGAAATGGATAACCTCGCACTCTGGTTTGGAGCCAAATGTGTAGTAATAGGAGGTGCCATTGTTCCATTCCAGGTCGTACAGGAGCTTTCCGAGCTGATGCTGAATTATGTTGAAGTTACGGCCGTTAGGCCAGTCGTACCAGAGGTCCACTTTTTGAAGACTGGAGCTCTTGTTGACAATTACGAGGATCGAGTGGAATTGGGGAGGCCATGGCGATGGAGTTGGTTCGGCAGGTTTCGATGATGTTAGTGGAAAATAAAGAGAAGGAGAGAGGAAAAGGATGTGGAGAAAGAGGGAAATGAAATTGATTGCAGACGCCATAGTCGGCATATGTGATAATGCAGGGGATGAGGGTTTTGTGGCTGAGGTAGACAACTGTAAGGCTACTGCTCTCCTGTTCTTATCTGATGAATTATTATAAAAATATAAATAATTTATTATCATTAATTTTTATTTTCTGAATTTATTCAGTCAACTTCTTCTTTATTAAATTATTAAATATCCTTCTTTTTTATTCTTAAAAGCTTCTTAATTAACTTAAACTACAAGATTACGTCTCCTTTTCAAGGCTATGATTGTCATTGAGATCTATATATATATATTTTTTAAAAAAAAAAATTAAAACAGTTAATTCTACATATTTTACAGTATATATATATATTATTATTATTATAACATAATCATATCGTGGTTGATGTGGATTGTGAAAATTCTTAATTTGAGAGATCAGAATAAGCGGCGCGATCTTTCTGAAATCATCCTAAATTAGTTTTTAACCCTAAATTGGGAAAAATTAAAAAAGAATAATTCAATGTTCCAACAGGTAAATACTAATGAGGAAAAAATAAATTTGGGAAATTAAAAAATAAAAAAACTAAATTTTATTCTAAAATAATAAGATTTTGATTTCAAGCTTGTAGTATACGTTCCCACACTATAATATATATATATATATATATATATATATATATGAGAAAGGTGTCAACTTCAAAAAATAAAGAAAAAATTCTAAAGAGCCTTTTGCTACTTGTACGTGTGTGTGAAGATCGTATTTTCTGGGTAAGGTTGTGTTATGATTATTATATAATAAGTTTGTTTATAATGATTTTTGCTGTATAATTATAATATATATGATCCATGGTAAAACATGTTTAAAACTAATTAATTAATTTCAATTTCTTTTTTTTTAAAAAAAAAAAGCTAATACAAGACAAGTCGGCGACAATGGTACTTAAATATATATATATATATATATATATATATACTTGTGAGTGCATGCCTTTTTGTTTTGTTTTGTTTTTTTTTCTTTTTGAGTGCATGCAAACTTGTTGATTAATAAGATATGCATGCTCAAAGATTAATATGATTTGTTTATATATATGAATATTATATATATATATGTTATGGAGATCATAGGAGCTGCAAATAAAAAGCTGATACCCATCTATATTTTATATTTTTTTCTGGGTAACTCCCAATTAAAATAATAATTTGAGAAATAATATATATATATATATATATATATATACATATGATACTTTTTATTATGTTTTTAATATGAAATTCTTTTACTAGTAGATTTGATACTGGTAAAGTACTTCAAATGCATGACTTACTTATAATTATAAACACACATATATATATATATATATAAATACATGATTAAGCTAAAATGTATAGAAAATAATATGCACATGCATATATATATATATATATATTATATGTATGTTTGTTTGGTTGATGAACAGGATTTAGAAGATGTCGATGCTGGATCATCTCGGTCTATGGATGATAGCGGTTGTTATTTTAATACTTACCATCATCGTGGTTCTGTTGTGGGCCGTCTTCAAGTGTTTCGACGATGAAGAACAGCCTACTCCTCCTCCTCCCTCATCAGCCGCCTCCAACAACGTTTAGAATAATAATAATAATCTCATTCATTTCTACCAATTTTAATTTTTTTTATTAATTTTTATGTTCAACATCATTATTTGATCGTTCAATAAAATTTATGGACTGATTATTTGTTATAAGCCCTTGTTTAATATATAGTTTTGACTAATTAAAAAATATTATTATTTATAAATTCATTAAAAAATTAAATTATTTAAATTAAAAATTGAGTAGCATTATTTATTTGGAACTTACATCAAAATATTGACGGTAATTTTCAAACATCACAAAATAAAATACGATATGATGAGATAAAAAATAATAGAAATAAAAACATAACAAATGACAGTTAAAGTATACATGTTCATTGTTATATTCTGAATTCGAATCTATAAATAATCAGTTTATAGTCGATATTTCTATCATTAAACTATTAAAGAATAATAAAAATAAATAAATAAATAAATCTCGTAAAGTTTAATTTCTGCTCTCGAACCATGACCAATATGAACTTGAAATTTCCTTCCCAAAATCACTGATTTCTACATTTCAACAAATCGCATTACCAGTCCAATATTTTCCCATCCGATCATTCTAAACTTCTCTCTTTTTTTTTTTCCATTGTAATAAAAAGCATGAAACACCTTCTCTACCATTTCTCTGCAGAAAATTTCCCAGATACATGCTTTCTCCATTGAATTAAAATTTCTATATATTTCTACAGTGTATATATATGTATATGTATATTAATAGAATAACATGTATAAACATCACCATATCGTGGTTAATTTTGTTTGTGAAAATTCGTAATTCGAGAGAGCAGAAAAAGCTGCGTGATGTTTCCGAAACACCCTAAACCAGTTCCAAGCCTAAATTGGACAAAAAACAAAAAAAAAAAAAAAAGAAACTAATGGGGAAATTAGAAATAAATTTGTTAAATAAGAAATAATTCCAACTTGGGAAATAATTATTCGTAAAAACTAATGAGGAAGAAATAAATTTGGGAAATCAAAGAAAAATAAGGTACGTAATTCAGTGATTTATTCTAAAATAAGAAAATTTTGATTTCAAGCTTGCAGTATACCACCTTCCCACACTGTATATATATATATATATACACACACACATGAGATGCGTCAACGTTGAAGAATAAACTGAAATTTCTAAAGAGCCTTTTAACTACCCGTACGTCTGCAGAGATCATATTTCTAGGTAAGATTTTTTTTATGATTACTATGTAATATTCTTTTATTTTTCTATATAATCGTAGTGCATGCAAAGGTTAATTAATAAAATAGGCATGTCCACAAATTAATATAATTTGTTTATATACATGTATGTATATATGCAGTCGAGATCATAAGAGCTGCAAATAAAAAGCTGATACCATCTTTTTTTATATATATTTATTGTGTTAAATAACTAATATACATAAGATATTCTTTGGTCATGTTTTTTTTTTTTATAATAAAAAAAAATTATAATCTGTTTAGACAGTCATGAAATTCTTTCACTTGTTGATCTTATATTGGTCATATACATATATATATATATATATATGAATACATTATTAAGTTAAAAATCATAGAAAATAATATGCATATATGTTATGTGTGTGTATATATATATATATATGTTTTAATGAATTTGGTGGGTTGATGAACAGGATTTAGAAGATGTCGTTTTTCGAGGATCCTGGGCTATGGATGATTTCAATTGTGTTTGCAATTCTTACTGTCATCGTGCTTCTGTTGTGGGCCGTCATAAAGTGTTTCGACAATAAAAAGGAGTCGGCTCCTCCTCCTCCTCCTCCTGCCTCATCAGTCTCCTCCAACAACGTTTAGAATAATAATAATAATAATAATTTCCAGCACCATAAACACTTTTAATTTTTTTATTAATTACAATTAATTAATTTTTGTATTCATAACTAATTGATTATGGAATAAAATTTAGTTATTTATTTTTGAATTTTCCTCTCCTTGTTTGCCCCCATTTGTTATAAAAGCTCTCCCTTTTTCACTGAATTAACAATTTTTTTCTTAATTAAACAACATTTACAAACTGCAAAAATAAAAAAATTAATGACGTATTATTAGTAAGTTAAAAAATTAAGTAGCATTAATTTCCCAATCATTGCTTTCTACATTTCAACACACATTACATTCCCATCCATCCATTCCAAACTTTTTCTCTTTTCCCACTGTAACAAAAAGCCTGAAACACTTTCTCTACCATTTTTTCCACTTGCCTATTAACAGGCAACTCCTTCTGAAAGAAAACATTAACTTGTTCTCAGATTCTGTGATGGTAGCTGAAATTGTAGTGTCCCCATCAGAAGCTTATCTCCCGTCTTTCTGCAAAAAATTTCCCCGATATAGCCTGGTCTGGAAGCAGAGAAAGCCATACTCCAGTATCTGCTCCATCCTCTGGTGAAATATTGCCAGCCCAACCTGTCATAGCAGTCCTTACCCACCCTGGACAGAAGCAATTGATGTAGATCTTCTGACCGTCTGGTCGGGCAGAGAGCTCTTTCGCCAGTAGCCTCGTGTAAGCATTAACAGCAAGCTTTGATAATGAGTAGTCTGTGCTTACTTGAGGCCATCCACCTGTTTGCCAAGTGCCATCTTCAACTTGTTGTAAGAAAGTTGACATGGTCCTGTCAATGAGTTCTTCTGAGAGAGTGTCTACATCACCCAGCTGCTCTCTTAAAGTCACATCTCCGAGTTTCTGACAGAATTTGAATAAACCAATATTAACATTTTCATGAAGCAGGATATAACAAAGTAAAACCTAATAAGTCAGTTGATTCCCAAGTATGGAAGAAAAGCAAAACTAAAGAAATCAGTCAATTCCCAAGTACTCCAATCAGAAACCTTTCGAGATGAAACAACATATAGCGTTTTAAGTTCTGTTCTGTTCTTTCACTTATGATAAGATCTTTACTGTTTCAATTAGTTCCATCCTTAACTTGAATGCTTCATTGATGGGTTCCCAATTCATGGCTAGATAGGACATAGGAGCAAAATAAATTCAAATATGAAAATTTATTATCTATTTCTACATGTTAAGGATATTCTAGTGCTTCAGTATAAAGTAAGATAGAATCCAGTGACAAATTTTTGGAACGAAACAGACAGATGCGCGTTTACAATGTAGGACCTTCATAACATTGTGATCAAAATGTTAGTAACACCCCCAAAAAATTCAGCAGTTTTGGTGCTGTCTGATAAAGAACCAACACAAGTATTGATTTCTCTCAATTAGAATTGCAGGAAGTGCAGGAGACAAGGAAATCTAATTCACCAGAAAGCAACCTATCCTAACTTTACAGAAACTTAAGCATCTCATAGGAGCATTTTAAAGGACAACGATCATCCCTTGTATTCTCAAGGGCAAGTTGCGTTTGCTCAATGGGTAGATTATTGTAAGTTCTGCTACCAGGCAGCACCAGTTTAGAAGGATCCGAGGACCCGCAAGTAATTTGCAAATGAAGGGGGAAATTCTAAATCCATGTAACATAATACAAAAAACTGTTTACTTACATTTCGTCGGCCATTTAATCTACCTAGCCGAGAGCTAACATTAACAATACGAGCCCCGGATGCAGAATGTCTCATGAATGGGATCATAGCTTTGATAATATTTTTGGTGCCATAGTAGTTGGTATTAATGACCATCCTGGCATTTTCAACAGAATTATCTGATCCAAGATTGTAGTTAACACCTGCATTATTTACCTGCAGAAGACACAAGTTTTTCAAATGATCATAAAATGCAGAGTTGAATTAAAACAAACCAAAAATAAAAATACCATCAGAAAACTTACCAGGATATCCATGAATCCATATCTTTCCTTGATCCACTCACCAAACGAGGAGACTGATAAGGAATCTAAGATATCAAGTTGATGGAAATCCACATTCAAACCACCCTCTTGTAAGACTTTAGCTGCTTCAAGGCCAACAGGGGCATCTCTTGCTGTGAGTACAACGGTGAGTCCATGGCCGGCAAGTTGTCTGGCAATCTCAAATCCTATGCCTCTATTTGCACCCGTCACCACAGCAACAGTTTCAGGTGACCACCACCTAAAAGCCCCCAACATTACAAGAATCAATACATTTCTATCCCTCCTTACAAACCCTAATGATGCAGATCCAAACAAAAACCATTTACTCAGAACAAGTACCTAATATAATTAGACGCTAACAAATAGTTGCAGACAGAAAACATGCATACACATTACTCGGAACAATGAAATTAATACAGTTTCCAACACAGACAAGGAAAATTTAGAAAGAACAAAAACGAATCGAAGAAGAAGCATTCAACATAATCTGAAATGGGAATTGGAATTGGCAGAAAGTAATGAAGAGGAGAGAGTGCAATGGAGTTTGAATAGGTACCTTTGGTGATCGGAGTAGGGAATGGTGCGGAGAAGGGAAATCTGTTGGCGTCTCTGTTCTCTTCTCTCCTTGGACTTGTGTTTTCCCGTCATTTCCTTCCTTGTAGTCTGAATTTCCTTTCTGGTTTTTTGGGGGCGGGGATTTTGTTAATCAAACACTGGTTCCTGGTTGTACGGACTCTTTCTTTCTCTTTTACCTTGTCACTGGTCAAATAATTTTGAGCAAAAATTTAGGTCAAATTTTGCAAATTTTTGAGGGGATTTCCACCATCTTAGCTTTTTCACGGTTGCAGTGGGTCATTTTTCTTTTAATTAATTATTAATTATTAATTAACAAAACTTAATTTTAATTAATTGATTAATTAAATTATTTATTATTTGATAGTTGGGGCTAATTTGGTCATTTTAGATCCAAATCCTAGACGATTCTATCAGCCATCAATCTAACGCTCAGTTTTGAACCACGTCATCCTTTCTCCTCCACATCAATTTTTCATCATCAATGTCGCACGGGCATTTGTTTTCAATCTGACTGGGAAACAAGAATTTCTTCCCCGTCTCACAGATCGAAGGATATCGACCAGACGACAACATTTGCTAGCCGTTTAGAGGATTGTCATCTCAGGGGAAAAGTGTGAAAGGGAGAAGTCTAAGTTTGATAAAGGTAAATATTCTTCTTGTCCATGATGTGTTCGATAATATTTCTGAATGAGGTCTTCGCTATAATTTTTGTTAGAGAACAGCATTTTTTTTGGATATCTAATTCTTCGAATTTTTTCTGGATTAGCTAATTTTGTGATATATCAAGCACTATCTTTTCAACTTAATCGCCTAAAATTTATATTAGTATAAATCTCCTGGAATATAGTTCTTAAGTTTTTTGCTTTGCAGCCTCTGTCATCCTAATGGGTTCTCTGTTATAGTTTGATATGGGAAAACCTATGGCTGTTTTTTTAACCGGTTTTATTTTGTTTTAACTTGTTGATCTCAAGGGGTACATGTATGTATGCACACACACTAACCTGTCAAAAGTCTGAACTCTTCCATTTTGTTAATCAGTTTTTGTTTTACTCGTCGAATACTTAATGGAAATAGGGTTTAGTTCACCTCTAGGGAAGATTTCTTCTTTTTCCATTGAGTTTTCACTTTGGCCCACTTGTTTGTTGCCCATATCTGTTATATAAATTTCCGCTTTGTGATTCTGGTGAAAGCTTCTTGTAAAGGGATTTCTTTTTTCTTTTAACTGAAAAGTTATCCATTCATCAAGTAAATGGCAAGCGTTAGGACAGCTGTGCTTAAAGTCGGCAGGGTCCTCAATTCTTCAGTTGTATCCAATCAGAGAGCTATCTTAGCTGCCTCTCCTATTCGAACAGAGACGCCTTTCAGGTAATTAATTGCTCATGAGTTCTTTTTTTTCTTTTGATTTTCTAAATGAAGGACTTGTCGTCTGGCAGCATTGTGATCACTTTCTTTTTTACTGAAGTCCTCAAAGTTCTTGGCTTTTCCGCTTTTATTCCGAGAAGCATTCAAATGCTCAATCATTAGATATTGATCTATCCAATGAAGAGAGCAAGCGGCGTCTAGTTAACAGGTCCTTTTTTCCTTCTTTGTGTTCGATTTTCTTGCTTGCTTCTTTTCTAAGCCTAGTATTTATGATTTTTTATTCATTTCAATCATAAATCATGCAACTTATATTCCCTTTTTGGGGTGGCTTATGTGTAAATAGATTGTTGTATAGAAGCAAACAGAGAGGATTTCTGGAACTGGATTTAGTTTTGGGAAAATGGGTGGAGGAGAACATTCATTCCATGGATGAAAATGGAATCAAAGCCCTTATTCATGTCCTTGATTTGGTAAATTCTTATCCACTTAATGTATTTGCTTAAATCCAGTTTGTAATTTTGAAATTTCGTGTTTCCCTGTTTCATCTAAGGAAATGATGCAGTTATGTCCTAAATCTAAGTGGAGGATAAGTTGAATTGAAAATGACACAGTTTCTGTTTCTTATTATCATTATAGTTTAGTGGTAATTCTTGACTCCATACATGGATTGACTAGTAGCAAGTTGGAATCTTAATTTGGGTAAGAATACATGCCTTGATAACCAACTCAGCTAGGTGAGTTGGTATGGTCCTCACCTTTTTTCCATGAAGTTGGGAGTTAAACTCTTAGAAGCCCTATGAGGGCTGGCAAAATAAAAATAAATGAATTCATGCCTTGATGCCTGTGACTAACTGGTCAAGACCCAATTAGTAATTGTTGAAAATAATTAGTGGAGTTTATGGGATTACTGGAAAATTAGTTAAGAATTAGTTTTAATTAAAAGGTAGAGTTGGGAATTGTTTTGTATCCAAAAGATATGAATGGAACTTACAACTTCTCTCTACAATAATTCGTCTTGTCTCTTTATTCTTCCTTACTCTTTCTCGTAGATTCTAATTTTGCTCTCATCTTCTTCTAAATTCTTTTCTGCTTCTGCTCTAATTCTTCTTCTTTCTTTAATTCTTCCCAGATCAGGCCAGGTTCCTTACACTAACACTATATATACGTACTGTGAATGGAGATTTTCTTTGCCATGACTGTGAATGGAGAGTTGAATTGACTACATTCATTCTTATTTTATCATTTTGTTTGTTTAATGTAGTTGTGCACACATATTCTGAGATTGGATAGGAAAAAAACTCAAACTCGAGTTGGTAAACCCTATTATGCAATTATCATGTCTATATGCTCTTGTTCATAAATGGTATCTTTAAAACTTAGCAGGTTTATTACATGGTATGATTTAATACAATCTGCAAACATATGGACTAGTTAATTAAATTGAAAATATAAGAAGTAACTTAACAAAACAATAAAAATACAAGGAGTTTTTTCCCTGAATTTTAATACTTTTTTGGGGTGAACATTTGACTTGAGATTAAACCATTGAAGGGAAGAACGTGGCCATAGTTCCAGCATGCATGAACAGATTATCAAAAGCAGCCAATCTATTGAGATTCAGTTTAGAGAAAGCTAATATGCTTCTTTTCTCTTATGTCTTTCAAGTTGTAACTGCATCTGCTACTGTGGTTTCTTTTCTATATTCACAGAGAAGAAAGCAGGATTCTGCGCTTGGTCCTATTGACTTTGGAATGTTTAAACTACAAATTCTGTTGAAGAAACTGTCTTGTAATTTCAGTTAGAAATACTTTTTCTTTTCATAAAAATAAATTTACTTATAAAATTGAAATTAGGGCCTCAAACTTTCTTTTTGTCATTGTAACATATTGCATCTTTGTTCTTCCCTGCCACAAAAGTTACAAAGTTGATATGAAAAATGATATTTTGAAAAGAGAAAAAAGATTTGGAAACTGTTGGACAAATAGTTTGATAAGGGAAAGAGTGATGCTTGTCCAGATTAGTGTGTTGCCGTCTGAGCTTGTTTTTTTTTCCTGCAGGAAAACCCAGATCTCTGGAAGTGGCTAACAGGTCAGGAGCAACCCCCAGAAGCTGTGAGCAGAAATCCTGTGAGAATCATCGTTAACATTTGAAGTTACTATTCCTTTAAAAGAAATTCTTCATTATATGTTCTCCTATCTTGATGTTTTACAGGTGTTCTTTGCTGTGCATGACAAGGTAATGAAAAACCTAAAAAATCATGCAGCTCCTGGGACACGAGCAATGCCCGGGGAACCTTGGGTAAGAGGATGGGATGATTTCAAGAAAGGTCGTGATAGCCCAATAACTGGGAACCAGTAGAGCTGATTTTGTTATTGAGTTAGAATGCTTTTAGAGTGTGTTGTAATGAATGCAACCAAAAATATTTTGTAATATATTAATAAAGAGAGGCTATAGTGAAAGCTTAAGGTCCATTTATGTGTTAAGAAGCTGTAATAATGAAAACATTGATACCTAACTGCTCCCTGGTATGTGTTTCTTTTGTTCCAAACTCTTATGAAGAAAATATTTTAAACCGTTGAGTGGCTTTTTGTAGGGGGAGGGGGCTGAATAGCAAAAATTAATTAATATTGGGGCAGCGGTAGAAATACAAGAAACTATTAGATATAATACTGGGCCGTATTTTATAGAACAATTATTGCATAGGGTGAAAGTGAAAGCTATCCGCAGAGGTCTTATCTCGTTCGCTCTTTTTATCCTATATTTTCTCTGGTTGTTCGTGTTCCATGTAAATGCTTGTAAGCTAGGAAGATGAGAAGGGTATCTGCCATCTCTTGGTCTCTCTCTGTTTTCCTTTTATCTTTCTTCTTCCATCTCTTGCCATTGTCAATATGGTCAGAACCTGCAGAGCCAACTCCAGCTGAATGGCCTCCCAAATTCAATGCACTTCTGTTTGAGAATAGCAGTGGCAAGCTCCACGTAATAGATTTCTGGTATGACTGGTCGAGAGGAGGCAGTCTGCGCATAACCCAGAACCAGTTGGCGAAGCTGACCTATGAGCGGTCATGGGATAATGGCACCTCCTACCTCTACCCTTCAGAGATCCACAGCCCATGTTGGCTCATGCATATTCCACCCGGTATCCTCCGCCCCAATTGGATGGAAGGTGCCATCTACCACGGCCAGCAATACGTTGATGGCTTCCTCTGCAATGTTTGGGAGAAGGTTGGCGTGGTTTGGTACTATGAAGACGCGGTTACTAAGACGCCTGTTCATTGGTCTTGGATCCCTTTTCCAGGTAATTTCGCAAATCTGCAAACGAAGATAATTTGTAAGTTCGATCCATACAAATATATGGTAAAATAAAAGTTAAAATGAGAAACTCTTTGGCTTTGCAGGAGAGCAAAGTGTTCATGTGATTACATTCAATGTGGGGGCAGTGCTTGAGGATGTGGATAAGTGGGAGGTGCCTGATTACTGTTTTAATAATAATAATAAGCTGGAGAATGATGAGGAAATGAAGGCATCAGCTTTTTGAATGAATTGTTGGGAAGCAGAAGAAGTTTGTTTGGGTTTTGGCAAATCATTTTCAAGTGGATCCCATCACATATTGAAATCTAATTTTGCTTTGTTTTCCTTTATTGAACATTTGCTAAGTTATATTATTATCATCAATGTATAAACCTCTAAGATTTCCACTAATATATTAGTATTGTCTATTTATTAATTATTATGAAGAATTTTAATTATTTTATTATAGTTACGAAAAAAATATAATAAATTTATTAAAACTAAATTCAATTGAGTCATCATAACTTTATTAATTTACTAATTTCAGTTCTATTAATTTAAGTATTATATATTGATTACTGTCAATCTATAACATATTTATAAAATTATAAATTTTACGTTCTTAACCAAATTCGAACTCTTGATATTCAGTAGAACTCAAAGAGTATATTATCATTCTGTTAGTGTTTGATTTTAAAAAATATTTTAATGTAAATACTATCATCAATTGAGCATCACCAAATAATGCAATAGTTAATAGTAGAATTTGAAGAGAGAAACAATGAGAAAATGAGCCAAACATAAAATACCTATCATCAAACTAAAACGAGTGACTGTCACGTGCCAATTCTTCATAATTTTTTTTATTAATTATTTATCTACATATAATAATTAATTATTTAAACTTTTAATTAATTACAAACTCTAAGATTATGTTTTATATAAATTCTTGATCTTTTATTTATTTTTAGTGCATGATGTAACATACATATTTTCTACTAGGAGTAAGATACCATAATTTTTAATCTTTAATTCCTAACTTTTGATGAATTTACACAACTAACTTATAATTACTAATTTTTTAGGTGTTAAGATAATAACTAAATTAAAATTAAGATTAATATCACACGATAATATGAAAAAAGGAAAAAAAATTATTGACGGGTGTACATAATTAATTAACTAAAATATCTAAATTAAAATTAAACCAAATTTCAGTCAAACTAAAATTAATATCAGACGATAATTTGAAAAAAAAAAAAAATTATTGGAGTGGGAGTACGGAATGTGGGTGTCTCTTTGATGAGTTTACGTAATTAATTGTTAGTTATTTAGGTGTTAGATAATATCTAAGACTAAAACTTCTATAAAAATTAAAATAAAATATCACACCATAATTTCAAAAAGTGCCGTTTCATCTAATTATTTCTCATTATTAATTTTTTAGGTATTTGATTAGATCTAAATTAAAATTAAACCTAATTTTAGTAATATATATATTTAAGTAATATTCACATCAGCATTATATTAAGAACAAATTTAAAATATTATTATTTACTTAAATTTTAAAATTTTAAAAATAAAATTAATATGATATATTTTTAAATTTTAATTAACTATAAATTATATATTATATAATTACTTATTAAAATTATAACACGTGATATAATATTTTAAATTTTTTTTTATTTTATTATTATTTTAATTATATGACATAAATATATATTTAAAAAATAAAAACAAAAATATGTGGACCAAAAAATTATATAATTGGCGAGGAGATGTTTTTCCTTATTTTTTAGATTTACAGTCGTGTCGTGTTCAGACGGAATAGAGTGGATTTCTCCGTCCATAGACGTAAGCAATGTCGTCGGCAAAGCTCCTCACATTTGTCCATGTACTTCTCTCTGTCCCGTTCTTATCCAAGCTTAAAAGGAAGAAACTTCTCTCACAATATCCCAGTGAAGTTGCAGTTTGAGGCGCCATCACTTTTCCCCCTTCATTTATTTTGTAAGTTTATCTGAAATCCTTCCATACTTAATGGTGCATTTTTTGGAAAAATTGAGAGGGTTTCAGAAGACCCGGATGAAATTTCTTGCATATCTAATGACTGAGATTCATGTTCTTTGACTTTTTCTTTTGAGGAAAAAATTCGTGTTCGTACCCACTTTCAAGTCTCATCTGATGATCAGTGTTTGTTGTACTAAGTGATAATTTATTTTTATGGAACTTGATGAAGGTCGATATTGTTTCATTATCTGCAGAATGGAAATAAGAATATGGGATTATATATATATACTTATACATATAAGTTTTAAGATTGGAAACTAAAAGTGAAGAAGTTTTCTGCCAATTAAATTAAATTCCATCTTTAGCTCTATACTCCTACTAATACGGGTGATTAATGATTTTAGCTTTGATGAAGTAAGAGCTAATATTGCTTTTCGATAATATACGGATGAAAGGAAATATGAGTTATCCATTCTGGGTAAGCATCACATAGTAGGTGAAATATAATTATCATAGGCAACTACGGAATCAAATGGTATTTTTTCTGTTTTTCCATTGATTCTAGCATGAAAAGCTCTCTAGGTGCTTTATAACCTGGCTGCTGAGTTCACATGCTTTAATTTCTTTGACTGTACTCCTGAATTTCTGTTTGTTACTTCGTACAGCTATTTTTCTTCCCCCTTTGTTTAAAATTGATTGGATATGCACTGTGATAATTCTTAGTAGTTACACTTTATAACTTATGAGTTTTGAAGACTGAATTGAAGTAGAGTCAATTTAACTTGGTTGCCTTGCTGTTGCCATTCTCCCTTTCCTGCTTTTTTTTTCTTTTGTGAAGTAAAGAGAAAAGTTGATCTATACTGCTGGTTATTTACCTCTTGAAAATGAAGCAATTCGTTGAAATTTTAGTGCCTGCGAATGTTAAATCATCGACTTCAATAAATCTAAAAGCATCTCTGTAGTTTTGCAATTTTTTTGTTTATAGAATTCGCTGCTTATGTTTAGTAACTCAACATACTGAAACTCACTGGAGGAAAACAGCAATTTCTTGAAAGCATCTCGATGATTTTGCGATTCTTTTAGTTGTGTATTTTGATTTTGCTGCTTATGTTTATTAACTCAACATATTGAAACTTACAGGGAAAAATGGCAAATCATTCTCAAAGATGGTTGCTTCTGGTGCCAATTTTACTGGCACTAAGCATAACATGTGCGCATGCCATTTCAAAAAGTGCAAGTAAGATGAAGTCTGCTGTTTTTCTGTCACCTAAGTTTGTATTGGGACCAGGCTCTGTAGAGAACAAATTCTATTACAACATTGACTTTCCAAAAGGTCATATTGCTCTCAAGAGTTTCAATGCAGAAGTGGTTGACGAGGCAGGAAATCCTGTTTCCTTGCAAGAAACTTATCTGCACCACTGGGTTGTTGCGAGATACTATGCACCTAAAGATGATAAGGAAGTTCTAAACTATAATGGAAATCAGAAGCTTCAAAGACCAGGTTATATATCTGGGAGAAACAGTGGGATATGCCAGAAAGGACTTCTTGGACAGTATTTTGGCCTTGGATCTGAAACACGGAAAACTGCAACGCATATTCCCGATCCTTATGGGATAGAGGTTGGCAATCCTGCTGAAATTCCTGACGGTTATGAGGAAAGATGGATGATTAATGTCCATGCAATAGATACCCGTGGTGCAGAAGATAAGTTGGGATGCACTGAATGCAGGTGTGAACTATATAATGTTACAGTCAGTGAATTTGGCCGACCGCTGAAACCAGGATACAAAGGGGGCTTAGAATGTTGCTACGATGGTACTCAGTGTAGACTAAAACAAGGTTTTGTGGGTGCAAGAAGGAGCCTTTACCTGAGATATACAGTCAAGTGGGTTGATTGTAATAGTTTCATTGTGCCAGTTAAAATCTACATATTTGATGTCACCGATACATGGAAAAAATCTGATGGTTCTTCTGGACCTTAAAATTGGAGCATGATTGCAAGGTAAGTTAGCATTTTACTCCTGCTGATTGGATGTCAACATATCTTATGTAGTTAAAACTGTTGCCTGTTTCAGAAGCCAACAGATAATTCATGCATGATTATCCAACAAGTACTTGTAAAATTCCTCTCTTTCAGTATTAAACATATTATTCTTTGTGCAGGTCGAATATGAAGTTGAATCATGCAGCAGCACCGGAATGGTTGGTGATGCGTGTGTTCACTCCAAGAGAATAAGTCTTGTCATGCCATTTGGCGGTTATGTTATATATGGTGTTGCCCATCAGCATTCAGGTGGCATTGGTTCCACCCTTTACAGAGAGGTGATCTAATGTTTAATTAAAAGTCATCATAACATGCTTTTGTCTTTTATCCATTTACCCTTTTGCTTTAGGTCAGTAGTAATTCTTTTGGTATGATGTAGGACGCCATTTACATTCTCTAGCTTCTGTGGTTTATATTCGTGGATCAGTGCCAATTTGGCCTTAACAAAGATTGTTGAACCTTTGGTTGCCTTGGCCATCACCAATGTGCTTTAGTTAGCATTTTTTCAGTTGGCATTTGTTGTGACAAATTGTGTTTTATCATCTTCCATAAACCAAACTGCAAACTTATATGTGATTATGTGAGATGAAGTTTTGGTATTGCAATCTTTCAATAATCTCAGGATGGTCAAGTTATATGCTCTTCTATACCAGCATTTGGAAAAGGAGATGAACCAGGGAACGAGGCGGGCTATATTGTTGGAATGTCAACATGTTTTCCTCAACCCGGCTCTATAAAAATAACCAATGATGAAACTCTGATTCTGGAATCTAACTACAGTAGCACCATAGATCACACAGGAGTTATGGGGCTATTCTACCTCTTGGTAGCAGAACAATTGCCGAAGCCTGTCCACTCCTTCTATTCACTTGTTCAAGTAAGATTCACTTCCCGAGTAAAGTCCCAAACTTTTTTTTCCCTTCCTTGAGAAGAAATGTTAAGCTTTTGAAAAAAGGGTATCCTTTGAAAATGCTTCATAATTTTGATATTACTAAACAACAAGCTTAGCATTCTTGATTGTTAACTGTTAAACA